GAGTAACATCGATAGATGCTTGCGAATCGCAATCTCCTAAGACAGAATTTCGCCCCTACTATGGTGTGAGTAGCTTCAATAGGCGTCTATCTTGCAGGATACAACTATCGATCTCTGTATTGACACCTAACAGAGATCCTAGCAAACCTACTTTGAGATTTCCAAAAACTGATCTTAGAGAAGAAGAAGAAGATTGAATGAATCGTATCCCGTTCTCTCTTGGTTGTGAAGTCTTTAAATAACCAATCGATTCTTAACAAGCGACGCGATGCTTATTGACAGAAGCGATCCTTGATCATATACCTCTTCTAATCGATGGATACTTATCGAAAAGGTGTTTGATAAGATTTGGTAAATAGAGATATATTTATATTAATATGTGTATGTTTATGTTAATACATCGACATAAAAAAGAATATGTATTAATGTATATAACCGCAGACATGTTTCGAAAATATAATATGAACGAGAAGAGAAAAGAAAAAGTAATATGAATGGTCCTCATTGAGTTCCAAGAGCCTTTCGTTCTTCTTCTTTAAGCTAATTTAATTTTCTTCAATATCAATAATGAAGAAGCAAAAGATGGAAATGGTGATAGTAAAAAATGGTTTCATGCCCCACGTCTTTATATAGATTTCATATAGAGAGTGCTCCAGATTCACTCAGATTGACCCACCATCAAGTGTTTGTACGATGCGTTATTCACGTTGAGTGAAGACTATACACATGTATTTGAGTTCAAAACAAAACATTTTGGTATTCCTTTTCTCACCAGAAATTTCATAGTTGTCAGTACAACCAAATTAAAAGCTATACACTGAAAATATTAACGAAAGCCTTAATGAAGAAGAAATTAGATGAGAAAAGACATTTCAAAAGAATTTATGTCAAAAAGAGATTATTTGTTACTATAGTATCGGTAGCCTCAAGAGTTCCCACTCAGATACTCACCATCAAGTCTCGAAATGTTGTTATTCACGTTGAGTGAAGAGTATACACATGTTACTCACGTTGAGAAAGAGAGAATTGAAATTAGAGTAATTGTAAGAGATAGTGTCAAATGTTTCAAAAATTAGGCTCATGGTTTGTAACTATTTCAGTCCTACTTTTTCCTATGGAGATGACTTTACAACCCCTATATTGTGGCCTCGACACAAAAAATTACTGGCGCGTGTGCTCCAACTTTTATTCCCAATGTCGTAACCATGTGTTCAGAAGATATTTTAGTTGATATTCTTACCATACAAAGACTATATGTTAACATACAAAGACTATATGTTAGATATTAGGTCGTTATCATAGATATTGCTAAACAAAATGGAAAATTCAACTCTTTTTTTACTAACTAACCTTCTCTCCATATAGAGTGTTATCGGATCTGCGTCTGAAAGTGTATGCTCCAGGGGTTTGAAACAAGGTTGCTGCGCTTATTCCACCATTGCTGCCAGACCTACTGATGTCCTTACCCACCATGCTACTAGCACTGCACCCATTAAATTAGAATCATTATAACGCCAACTCCACCGGCTCAGTAAACACCTTCAAATCCTCCAATGTCACAAATCGAACATACCCACACCTTCTCTTATCATGGAAGGCGGTTCTGTAGTGGCTGTGTTTCCATTGTTGGTGTTGCCAGGAACTCGCCTCATGTTGCGGCATTGTTACTCCCACTACCTGAAGATGCAACAGAAGTGGAGTAAGCAGCAACAAGAATGGAATGCGCTTGTCACAGAAGTTAGAAGACGGTGTGACACAAAGAAGAGTTCAAGGCCTTTCGTATATTTGTGTATATGCGAAAGGTAGAGTGAAAAAGGAAACTAAAGAATAGATTTAGGAAACTTAGGTTTCTGCTCTCTCTAGGTCTTTAGTATAAAAGTGGCAAAGGTAGAAGTAAAGAGGTAACACTTCTGACCTAAACTAGCAGAACGGCGCCATAAGCTTTGTGCAAAAAGCAAGACATAAGCTTCAAGGTTAGTGTTCGTTTTAGGATTAGATCGAGAATCACATGTTGTGGATTTTTGTATTAGCTTGAGATCAGTTGGTTCAATCTAGAGTTCTAGAGTTGTGTAAAACCAAACTAAGTGTAATCGGGTTAAGATTAACTTATTGATTCAAGTGAATAAAAGCATTCTTCTTGGTGCTGTCCAAGACACAGAAATCTGTGTTGCCCTGTTTTCTGTTCTTTTAATTGGTATCAGAGCAGACATCTGCTTAAGAGTGTTTGTTCTTTAAAATCAGGTGTGATCTGGGAAGAGGATGGAAAACATGCAACAAGTGGTTACAATGAGATCTCTGACACTCGAGAAAGAGAACTTTGGCTGATGAAAAGTCCAAGTCCAAGCCCTCATCAAAGGAATAGATGAAGACGCGTGGACCATGGTTGAGGAGGGTTGGACACCTCCGAGCATTGTTGATGCAGACGGGAATGACTATCCAAAACCGAAGCTGCAATGGACAGTTGAGGAGAAAAATATGTCAAAGTTCAATTCTAGGGCGATGATAGTCATATGGAACTCTCTCACCAAAGACCAGTTTCAACAGGTTCAGGGCTGTACAACGGCTAAAGAAATCTGGGATTATCTAACAACGGCGTATGAAGAGACAAACTCGGTCAAGAGAACCATAATTGATATGTTGGCGTCTCAGTTTGAAACTATCACTATGGGAGATAACGAGTCGGTTGAGTCATTCAGTGGAAAGTTGAAGTCAATTGCAAATGAGTGGCTGATTTTGGGAAAAAAGTACAAGGACAAGAAACTGGTGAAGAAATTCTTGAGATGCCTGCCAGAAAAGTTCCAAGGACATCGCTCAGCTCTTGAAGTATCTCAGAACTCTGATGAGATGAAATACAACCATGTCGTAGGAATGATGCAGGCACATGAACTGGATTTAAAGTCCAAGAGGACTGGAAAATCCAAGAAAATTGCCTTCGCTGCAAAGGAAACAGCTGCATCATAAGACCTGGAAGACAAAGTTGGTCTGATTGTCAAAAAATACTTCATTTGACAAAGGACAGAGGCGTTTTGGGGCACCTGTCAACAAAACTGAAGGGGAACAGCGAGCTGAGAGACAACCCAGAAAGTCAGAGATACAGTGCCATGAGTGTGAAGGGTTTGGCCATATTCGGTCTGAATGTCCCACAATCAAGAAGAGGGAAACTCTCAGATGCACCGAATGCAAAGGTGTGGGGCACTCGAAGTTTGACTGTGTTGGGTCGAACCGCAACAAAGAGAAGTTGTATGTGTGTGTAGAGTCAGACTCTGAGGACAGTGAGGAAGATGAGGTCAACTTGCTAGCTTATCTAGGCATAATCAATGAGGACGTGGAATCTGATGAAGGAACAGACAATGAAACAGATGATGTCTCAATCATGTTTGAGGAGAACAAAGCGCTATGTGAGACGGTGATTGAACTTCGAGCCTACAGGGATACGTTAAGCAAAGAAAAGGATGCACTGTTGAAACTCTGCGAAGAACTGAATGGCAAACTCAAAGCCGAAAGTGACAGTAATCAGGAAACTAAAGAATAGATTTAGGAAACTTAGGTTTCTGCTCTCTCTAGGTCTTTAGTATAAAAGGGACAAAGGTAGAAGTAAAGAGGTAACACTTCTGACCTAAACTAGCAGAACGGCGACATAAGCTTTGTGCAAAAAGCAAGAGATAAGCTTCAAGGTTAGTGTTCGTTTTAGGATTAGATCGAGAATCATATGTTGTGGATTCTTGTATTAGTTTGAGATCAGTTGGTTCAATCTAGAGTTCTAGAATTGTGTAAAACCAAACTAAGTGTAATCGGGTTAAGATTAACTTATTGATTCAAGTGAATAAAAGCATTCGTTTTGGTGCTGTCCAAGACACATAAATCTATGTTGCCCTGTTTTCTGTTTTTTTACTACCGCCTGTCATATCTCCTCCACGATCTAAACCAAATGCTTTATTGGCTTCCACCATCGGCGTTTGTGGTCTTTCAAATGTTCGGGTCGTCGACACAGTGCTTGCAGCCAAAACAGGGGTTTTATTGTTCTCACTAACAGGTATATTATTCACCATATATCTCGGAATAACCACCCCACCTGCACACAGTTATCATACCCACACAGAACGTTGCCAAACCATTCACTAAATCACGCGAAGTTAGCTCCCAACATGTTAATGATATAGTTAGTTGATACCTTCAGCGTTACACTCGCTAACTTCTCCCTTATCCATCCGTCCTCCATGAAGCCAGTTTGTGATCTCATCTTATATAACATCTCTGTTATCTTATATAACACCTCTGTTATTCAGTGAAAGAGTGTGTGATAATATTATCCGTCTTTCATCAATGCATCTTATATAACATCTCTGTTATCTTCGATAACCAAATCTGGCAGTTTTGGAAACATTCTTAAATGACTTCACTCGCCAAATTAGGTCATTTCTCCCACTCTCCATATAACGCAACTTCTATAGGAATAATATTGTCCACTTATACAACTCTGGCGGCGAGAGATTTAATTTCCAAATCATTACATCCATATTCTTAGTATTTACACCCAACTCACTTTTGTTTGGTTTCTTTGTGGTCTTAAATATCTATTATATAAAGAGTCACCTCAGCACCTCTTCCTGACACATCAACAAATTAAAATTTTTAAAATTCATTTTATTTTTTAAAAGTCTGACGGAATGAAATCATTAAAAAAGAAAACTTTTAACACTCCACCGTTCTAACTTATGTTTAAAACAAAATTACAATGCGCCTGGAATTTGGAGAAGTCACCTTAATTTATATTCTCTACTTCCACATTCCATCTTCTCCTCGCCTTCTTCTCTCTTCTTCTCTCTGAACGCTAATCCATCCCGACACCGGGAAGCGGAAACGCAGCTTAAACAGGCGATCTCCCGAAACTGGTCATGGAAACGCGTGCAAGTGACACCGTCGTTGAGCCGTCTGGGAAATCGCGGCGGCTGGAGTAGGAGAACGAAGAAGGAGATACGTATGGGAAATTAGATCTTCTGATGAGTGGTATCAGATTTTCTCTCATAAGAGTTTTGGTGAGTATCTTTCCTTATGTGTGTCTTCTTCAGTGCAGATGATTTTGGTATGTGTCTAACCCTCTTTCTCCTTTCTCCTTACAGTGATATGTGTGGCATTCAATCCTGTGGATGACAATTACTTTATAAGTGGATCGATTGCTGGCAAAGTCCGTAGGCTATACAGATATAAGAGAGATTGTTACAGCTTTTTGCTATTGTCATGATACTAAAGGTGCAGTTATAGTTTCTATGACTGGAGAATGTCGAGTTAGAAAGAAAAAACCACAAATTTGTTTTTCCCAAATGGTAGAACTTTAGGGTTTATCTGGAAATTGATGAGGGAATGCATCCTCTAACAATCTAATTTTTTTTTTATTTGGATGATTTGAAAATATTGCTACAAGGAGCTCTTCGTTTGGTGTATGAATACATGAATGGAATTTTACGAGACAGGTGTTAGTTTTGATATCATTCTTCTGATCTTACAATCCTCTTTAATTTTTTTTTGTCATGTTAATTGAAACTCTTTGAGAAAAGCAAAAAAGGTTTTGGAGATTGGGATTGGTATAGGTCCCAATTTCAAGTACTACTCCCGTATTCCAAACGTCTCTGTTCTTGGTGTTGATCCAAACGCTAAATTGGAAAGCTAAGCACGAAAATTCGCTATAGAAGCAGGATTGAAAACCTATGACTTCAGATTCATTCACGCTGTAAGTTTGTGATAAACATGCCATCGTTTGCTGTTGATTTTGAACAGCTTGGAGAATCTATACCGTTGGAAGATTCTATAAACTATAAAGCTAAATTTTGAGTTTGTTCGTTTTTGCTGTGTAGATGGAACATTTCTGAGATTGGTTCATTATGTGTTGGATCCATTGCAACAAGTTGTTGACGATGGATGTCATCTGACGAGGCACGCAGGAGATTACATTTCAGAAGCCCGGTTCAATGGCGGTGCTGATATAAACAAGGTCTCTCTTTCTAGCTTTTGGCGTACATAATTTCTCACGTCTATGGTGTTGCTTACAATTAGAGAAAAACAGGGGATGATTGTACATATTCAATGATAATATGAGATTAATGAAATGATGGTTGTTGTCTATTATATAATAGTAATATATAGGTTTTACATAAAGCTTTCATGTCTATGGTTATTAAAAAAGGTATTTATCGATTGAGGTCTCATGTCTCATGGAGCCTCGATAAATGTTTGATTTTTGTGGGTTCTTAAACCTCGTTTCAGTGTTTCATTTGTTTAATGGTTCAGAAATCTTACAAAAATCGATCGCAAATGTGACAACTTTAGAAAATGCTCACCAACGTTCTTAACATCACCACCAGAAAGGCACCGTGTGGTGAAGGTACTCTTCATACCACCTCCTCTCCTTCTTCGTTCTACATGTTGCTTATCTCAAGACTTGCACCTAACTAAAGTCTCTTCTTGGAAAATAGGTCTCTTTTCTAAAGTGTTTTAACTAACAGACTTGATATCTGGTTTTAGCTCTAACTAAAATGCTATTAAGCTATTTGCTGTGTTTCTTTCTGCTTGTACTATGTCAGTCAAGTCACTTGACACTGTTTTGTATCAGGAACCAATACGTGGGACAGATTCGAACTCAGGGTTCACAAACGGGTGAGAGATCTCTTCAGCTCGCCTGACGTGGTTAAGCAAATCATTTCTATCACCATTGAACCCGGTGTTGAGATTGAGGTCACTATTGCCGACTCTTAGGCAAAACTCTTGTATATGTTTACAAAACCGCTTCAAGAAAGAATGTTACTAGCTGTTGATAGTATTTAGTAGAAAGAGTACATACGAGAAAATTCAACTTAGCGGATGTAAGTCATTAGGTAGCGGATAAGTGTAGTAAATTATTATTAGCTCTCATTTAACATCTAATTGTTTTTTTCTTATTTTTTGTTTGAAAAACATTGAATAGTTTTTTCATCAATTCTTTCGATTCTTGCAACCAATTAAGTTAAAATTAAAACTAAAGTTTGTGAAAATATGAATACATAAAATAATATAAATAAGTGATCATAGAAATTCAAGTGATATTAATGTTGGTTAAACGCATCTTAAAAAATAATGGAGGTAGTATTAAATTCTTGAATTCTATTTAATAGAAATGATACAAAATTTATTAATCAATCATTAATATATGAGGTTACAACAATATATCTTAGTAGAAAAAAATCACATGTATAAAATGCATAAATTATTTTAAAGAGATATTAGTATGAAGAAATTAAAACTTAAAAAAAAACTATAATTAAATGAGTATATAAATTAATTCAAAAAATATTTCTATATTTATATAATTGACAATTTTAAAATTATTTCATCATTAAATTTAAAATAAAATACTATATTAATCATAAATTCAAAAATATATAATAAAATATAAATTTGCGTGTATACGCGGATTATCACCTAGTATGTTTAAACTAATTATAACGTCGAATATGAAAAGGGTTTACTCACGGCGGGAAGAAGAAGACGATAGAGATGCAATTAAGTTTGAGCCATACTGGGCTAACAATTCTTGTTGGGCTTTTACCAATTTTACTAGGCCTGGATCGTTACAAATATCATCCGCCAACACTTTACCAAGTGCTTCCTGCAGCGATACGACTACCGGAGGCAGTCGCTCGGAGACGCCGAGTACTATCTTCAGAGCTTCCTCCGTCGGAATCATTTCCGTCTTTCCACCGCCGCCACAACAACCTTCATGACCATCCATTTTTTTCAGTGTTTGATAGAGAGAGAGAGACGACAGGTGTGGTCACTTACATTCGGGAAGAAGGTGAGAGCAAAGTTGACGAGCTTGTTTGGCAATCAGATTAGATCTGACTTTCTACAAATGGGAGGTTAGGTTTAAACCGACAACCAAACACCCTTTTTTGGGCTCGTCTCTGATACAACTGGAGACGGTCTGTTTCACTTCCCCCTTGCGATTTTCTTCAAACGGTCTGGAAAGTCTCACGAGGACTAGCTTCATTGGCTTACTGGTTTTAATATGAGCCTTGTGATGGGATTGATTGACTAGCTTGGTTGGCTTTCTATGGTAGATATGTGTTTACTGGCTAACAAGGAGGAAAAAACATGTAATTATGATCACATGAATTAGGATATGCATCATATCGATCTTAGGGTCCTGACAGAGAGAAATGGCATTGCCCTTAGAATCTGCTAATAATAAATCTATATATGAATTCTGACAGTTCTGCATGATGTTCTATGTTAATAGAAACAAACAACTGTTTCACCATTTTATAAATGTTATAACCAGCCTTTGGTCCCCAATATGAGTATGCACCAGTAACAAAGTTGTATGATCCATAACCTGTTAAGACCAAGTTATATCAGTCAGTGAAGAAGATAAGTAAGAAGAATAGTGAAAAGTAAAGAGGACAAAAATATTACCAAAGACATTAACAAGAATCGATGAGCATCATGTTGTACTTTCAAGTCTTAACCAACCTTGACAGAAATTTTTAAAGAATCAAACACATGAACACACACCTTACTGAACACTAACTTGTGAACTCTACATAAATCTCATGACGCTTTCTACATAATGCTTTCTACTGTTATGGTAAATATATCTCTTTTGATAAATCCTCTTATGATTGGACCATAACTATGTGTAATCATGTCCATCAAATAAACAGGAATACATTTGTGCTATAAATACATAGAAATACAAACATTGGCTAAAGAGAGTAAAAGAGAAAAACAGAGGAAAGAACACAACAAAAACAGAGTAACCGGAAAAAATAACTGAAAATCAAGACACTGATAAATGGGTTGCCTTCTCCCCCAAGCTTCTTTCTCTCTGGTCCATTTGTATTGGTTGCAAAGATTCTCCAAGTTGGGTTTACGAAGGCTACACAAACAAAATATACGTTAGTTTCACTTATTCATTCATCCAGAAAATCCTAATATAATATATTTTTTCAAATTCAGAACATTACCTCTCTAATTAGCTGTGGTGTTTCTTCTTCTTCTGCCTTTGTTTCGACCAAAAGGACTCGTGAACCACTCTGGTTTGTATGAAATCAATATGTATCCAATCGCTCACCCAAACGCAATACCAGGTACAAATCCTATTACAGCTGCAATCCAACTGGACACCTCTTCATCTTCTTCTTCTGGTTCTCGCGTTTCAGACTTTTGCGATGAAGGCTTGTGGATATATCCACAAACTTCATCAAGAGCAGATTCAAAAAGTCCCGGGTTATCTTGGAAAGAAGAGCAAGGCTGCCTTCGAAACTGAGTGCCTCCGGGTAGTAAACCTACAAGCTGGTTATGGGAGAAGTTCATGTACTCAAGGAACGAGAGATTCCATAGCTCTTGTGGATTTTCTCCGGAGAGCTTGTTTTGGGAAACGTCTAGTGACTCGAGAGCTGTCAGGTTCCCCATGGACGATGGTATGTGGCCATTGAAAGCGTTGTTTGACAAGTTGAGCACGTGAAGCTCTTGCAGCAAGCCGATGGACTTTGGAATCTCGCCTTCAAGTTTGTTTCCAGAGAAGTCGAGTGCTGTGTAGATTTTTAGGATACGTACCAGCTCCATCTCTATTCCTTTATTCATCAAAACCATTGAATCTTTGTAATAGCCTAATTCATCTCCCATATAACGTTCTTTTGACTGATCTTCATGAATCCCAAGTGATGACATTGAACTCCAGTTCTCAAAATAATCAGATGGTAGAGTTCCATTGAATTGATTGTGTGATATGTCGATGATCTTCAGGTTAAGGAATGTTCCTTGATGTATCGACCCATGGAATGCATTGGAGCGCAAGACAAGAACTTTCAGGTTCTGTAGAGAACTCAACCAACCAGAACGGAAACGTGTCGTTGATTCTGCTGCTTTCCACATTGAGAACTTCAAGATTGGAGAAATGAGTCAAAGATCTTGGAAGCTTTCCCACCAATTGGTTGTGACCAAGGTCAAGCGTTTGTAGACCTTTAAATACATTCTTCGGAAGACCTCCACTAAGATGGTTCTGACGTAGGTTCAGAACTGAAAGTTTGCTCTTGAGATTTCCCATGCAAAGAGGGATTGAACCATTGAAGTTGTTGTTTGATAAATCGAGAATGGTTAGAGAGTGAAACTCGCATATGAGAGATGGAATCTCTCCTGTGAAGTTGTTTTTAGAGCCAGACAAGTACTCCAGGACAGAGGATAATCCAAGTTTCGTTGAACTTTCGAAGTTGACGAAAGTGTTGTTGGAAAGATTCACGTAATACAGATTCGGTAGCATCCATAACCAGCCAGGAACTTGACCGTTGATTTTGTTGTTGGAAATGTCTAGTCTCTCCATACGCTGCTGGGTTCTCAGAAGTTCTGGAAATTGGGTAATACCGCAGCCTGACAAGTTTAAATAAAATATCATCTGTGAAGGAGAATCTGAAACTGAACTTTTGTTGTTTGTGGCTAAAACATGGTTCCCTGAGAGATCTAATGCTCCGAGTGACTTGGAAAATGATGAGAGTGCATTCAAGTCAATCGTTGTTGTAGTGTTCAAATGGGAGAGGTCAAGATATTGGAGCGACTTGAGATGCGAGAAGATAGTGAGGTCAACTGGGCTTTGGGTGTTCCAATGGGAAAGTTCAAGTCCTGTAAGGTTGACTAATTTGGAAATGGATCTAGGGATTGGCCCTCTAAAGTTGTTACCCCCAAGATATAGCCATTGGTAATTAGATGATGAAGATATATTCCCAAACTCAAGAGTGTTGTTGAGTTGGTTATTTGACAAATAAATATCTGTCAAAGAAGGAAGGGCGAAGAGAGAAGAAGGAACGGTTCCAACGAAATTGTTATCCTCTGCGTAAAAAAACTCCAAGTTGGAGAGTGAGGTAATGTTTGGAGGAAGTGTTCTTGTGAGTTGATTGGAGTAGAGTGATAACCACGGCAGCTTTGTCAAATTAAGTAGTGCAACAGGAAAGTTACCACTAAGCTTATTGGAGTATAAATCTAACTCGGTCAACTGTTTCAAAGTGCCAAAAGAAGATGGGATTTCACCATCGAAACTGTTACTGCCGAGGTCAAGAGCTTGGAGTTGTGAAAGGTTTCCAATTGTAGACAGAATCTGACCCGAAAACTGATTAAAAGAAAGGTCAAGAGAAATGAGATTCGAAAGGTTTCCAATTAAAGACAGAATCTGACCCGAAAACTGATTAAAAGAAAGGCTGAGAGAGGTGAGATTCGAAAGAGTTCCAACTGAAGATGGAATCTGACCCAAAAACTGATTATGAGAAAGGTTGAGAGAGGTGAGATGAGAGAGTTTTCCAATGGAGGATGGGATTTGACCAGATAAATCATTTTTGAAAGGTCTAGAGAAGATAGAAAACGAATGTTTTGAAAGGTATTCGAATGAAACCTGCCATGGAGGCCACTGCAGCTGAGGTCGAGCTTGATCACTTCCCCAGACTTGGCATCACACGTGATACCATCCCTATAACAACAATCACTGTTATGTTTCCATGACTCCGTCTTCGGATAAGCAGCTCCACCAATAGAATAATGACACAAGCGATCAAAAGAAGACTTTCGAATCTCAAACTTGTTCTTGAACTCGAGAAGTGCATCCCTTTGTTCAGGACGACACACATGCCTAACAGGAACCGCAGACATGTTTTGAAAATAAAGTATAAAAGAGAAGAGAAAAGAAAAAGTAATATGAATGGTCCTCATTGAGTTCCAGGAGCCTTTCGTTCTTCTTTTAAAGCTAATTTAATTTTCTTCAATACCAATAATGAAGAACCGAAAGATGGAAATGGTGATAGTAAAACATCATCAAGTCTCTTTATATACATTGCATATAGAGAGTGCACCAGATTGACTCACCATCAAGTCTTTGTACGAAGTGTTATTCACGTTGAGCAAACACAGTGAATGTATTTGTGTTCCAAACATTTTGGTCCAACCAAATTAAAAGATATACACAACCAAATTAATGAAAAAGAAATTATATATACATTACAAAAGAGTATAAGTCAAGAAGAGACGATTTGTTATGGGTAATGATAATCATGTGGTCGATGTAAAGAGAGCTCTCAGGAAGAAGAAAAGTTCGAAAAAGAAAGAGAGACTTTGAAATTGTTGGAGTTGTCTTTCGTCTTTTCCCCCGTGAAATAAAACTGACCAGTCAATATTGCTGAATAGTCTGAGAATTCTATTTGTTTGTTTGTTTGGTTTCTTTTGTCATGATACATTTTTTCTTTGTTCGAGTTTGATTAATATGATTTGTTCAATTGTGTCGTGATACTAAAAATAAATTAATCTAATCGAATTGCTGTATATTTCTTTGTGGTCTAGATATACGTTTAAACTAATTAAAACGTCGTGATTCTTCGTTAGCCCAGCAATGACCAATGATATTTCTACTGAACTGAAGTAGCGCTTGCTTGCAACACAATTATCACATTCTCTATAAACAAAAAGAGAACCACCATATATGATATGCTTTATGAGCATCCAATCACTATTCACTGTATAGTTTTAACTTTTAACCCATTATATGCAATAAACATACAGAGAAACTAACTCTATTTTTTCTATATAGTAATTATTTATGGAGTTACAATCGATTGTTCTTGCCTCCTCTGGTTCTCACTCACTTTCTTCTTCATTGCACCGATCTACACTGTTTATAAATATCCCTGCCAAAACAAAATTCACAACAAAAAGAGCTTCTTGATTTTGGACAAGAAAATATTATTCAAGTTCAAGAATTGAGATTTGCTTTTACCTATAAACCATATTGCAGCAGCTAAGAACAGAACCGATGTAAGAATCAATGCTGTTTTTCTCCAATTGTTGATATGATCCTGCATATACAACAACAATGGAGCAATCTTGGTTTCTGTTTTCTCTCTTTTCAAGTATTGGTGATGACAAGAAGAGATCTTTTTTTTACCTGAACGATACCGACAAGAGGAGAAGAAGGAACATCGCCAAATATGTGAATCGCGACAGTAGAGATCGCCATTGATAGTGATCTCAAACTTGGCTTCACACAATGTAAACACACATAATTCACAGGAGCCTGAAGAAGAAGAAGAAGAAAAGACGAATCTGTTCTTGTTATTGATGAAGAACATAACAATATTACAACAACACTAAGGCTCAAAGTTTTTTTACCTGTGTAGCGAAGACAAGAAGCTCTCCTAAGGCAAAGAGAGTGATGAAACCGTATAAACTCTTTAAGGTAAATGCAGTGAAGCAAAAGATCGCTCCAAGAAACGTTGCTCCGGTTAAAAGCTGCATACAAAAGATCAAAAAGGTTTTGATTCAAAATAAAACAATAAGAGAGAAAAGGATTTTCTTCTTCACCTTAAAAGCATTTGGAATTGTTGCGGTGACACGATCAAGTATAAACCCTCCTGATAATGTCCCACTGATCCCACAAATGATAGTTACTGCCCCAAAGATCATATCGGCGTTTTTCTGACAAGATAGAACAAAAGTTTCAATCTTTCAAGAACCCTCAAGAAAAAAATTGATAGAAACAAACTGTTTCACCATTTTGTAAATGTTATAACCAGCCTTTGGTCCCCAATATGAGTATGCTCCAATAACAAAGTTGTATGATACATAACCTGTTAACACCAAGTTATATCATCAATCAATGAAGAAGATAAGTAAGAAGAACAGTGAATAGCAAAGAGGACAAAAACTTCTTACCTAAGACATTAACAACAAAGACTTTTTCTTTACATAGAACTTTCATGTCTTTCCCAAATTGAGTAAACGATTTCGAAATTGAGTTCTTGTAACTTGACCTGTCACAGTTGAAGTAAAAAGATTTGATAAAACTAATACAAAACGTATGGAAGAAAAGTTTAAAGATAATAAATCAAACTCACTTGTAAGATTCAATGGAGACCTCAATCTCATTACCACCAGCTTGAAGATGATTCTTGTTTTTAGATGTCTCTGCGTCTGCAAAATAGACAAAACTCTCACTGCACAACTGTATAATCAAAGCACATTATCATTAACATACAAGAAAGGTGAAAAAAATTTACCAACTGATGAAGCCATCTTTATAGAATCAGTAGAAGGAAACCCTGTTTCATTTTTCCTTTCTCTGATCAATATCCTTAACAGTTCATGCTTGAAAGTGAAACAGAAGACAGAATCTGTTCTTAACCTTTTAACTGTAGAGGTTTCATCAAGAAACCAAGAACAGCAAATGGAGCCATTAAAACAGCTTCTCCCCAAAACGCATAGCGCCAACTAAAATGTTTTCCAACCTAAAAAATCAACAAGAAGGAATCACAACTTTCTTTAATATCATTAGTCTCAACAATACTAATTCATAAAGTTTTTATACATACGTATCCGCCATAGACATAGCCCAAAGCAACACCACTTGGTATACACATGTAAAACACACCAAGCCACACAGCTTTCTGAAGTTAAAAAGCAAAAGGGTTAATCAGAAATGGAAAAATGTTGCATTTTGAATCCATAAGATGTGCTAAAAAGGTTTAAAAGAGAAACCTGTTTGTGAGGAGCATTATCATCTATAAACGGAGCTGCAAGACTGATGAAAGAAGCTTCACCTACACCAACGAACCTATCGAGTAATAATAGTCATACAAATCAAAATTTGGAGCAGGCAAAGTCAAAATCATAAACAAGAACAAAACTTAACTTACATGCGACATAAGACGATAAACCAAAAGGCAAAGGAACTTCCACAACCAAGAACTGCAATAGTCCAAACAGTTAAGCCTACTCCAATAAGTCTAAATGGATTGAAACTGCGCTACAAACAGTAAGCAACTTCAATAATCTATGTTTTGTTTAAGCCTTAGAAGAAAAAAATGAAAAATGTTTCGTAACCTTTTTGCTAATGAAGCAAAGATTGGTGATGCAATAAGAAGTCCAACCATAAATGAAGATGACAACACACCATCTTCGAAATTACTTAGATTGAAATGTCCCCTAGAAGAAGTAACAAATTTGAGTAAAACATAGCAGTAAATATTAAAAATTTTAGGGTTTTTAATGATAAAATCCCTATGAATCGGATTTAAACCCCTCAACTAAATATTTAACATGAAAACCCTTATGTAAGTTTTTTTTAACGTATTAACCCCTCCGTCTACATTATCGTTAATATTTAGAATCATCGTTAACAACAAAAGGATTCGTTTTATTTTCGTCAAAAACGGCACAAACTAAATCTAAAACAACACGATGTGTTGATAAGACAACACCACATTTTAAAATCTAAGAAAAATTCCCAAATTCATACAATGAGCCCTAATTTTAGAAATTAAGGTTCTTTGAAAGTCGAATGTGAAAGATTAGGAGTGATTAAATTGTTTCGATGTTCTTTGGAAGTTTACGGTGAGAGTTTAGGAGTAATTGGCTGTTCTGATTACAATAATGTTGAGAGATAAGCCAATAAAGGATCTAGGTAAGAATTCTGAATGACAGTGTTTGAAAGACGATTTGAGCAGATGAAAGGCATAGAATTTGCAGCTTATGAGAAAGTTAAGAGAAGTGTCGGTTCAAATTTGTCCACGTAAGAATTTTGAATTCAAAAGTACTTTTGCTTAGGTTTGTCTCTGTTTTTTGCTTCGTTTTATATATGAGATTCCTATATAAAATTATGAGCAAGAATGTCTGTCGCTGCCTAATGATGATTCTTTTTTACCTTACATCATACTTCTCTCCCCTTCATCGTTTGTCCTTACAAAAGAATAGTTGCTTATATTATAAAAGATGGTGCTCTGTTTTTTTCTTTGTCGAGTGAAATTGTTATATTTGTTCTGCTTTTTGCTTTGTTATGTGTGTGAAGCTTTTTAGTTTTTTGTGTTACTAAGACTAAGATAGGAGCAACGACAGAGACAATATTAGTGAGTCTGTTAAAGTGAGAGGATCTTCGTACCAACAGCAAGGCGGGAAGGAGATCATAATTGCAGATATGGAGGTTGCCTATTATTGATATATCTGGGAGACAAAGAATAAAATCCTTCAATTAAGGATATCGTATATACAAGAGTGTTTGTATATAGGTAGTTTCCGGTTCATCGAGATACTACACAGATCTCTAATTCTTGTATAAATTGTATCGAAAGATCTCAGAAATACACACAGAAAATTCACTAAGCTCGTGTTTGCTTTACATGGTATCAGAGCGAGGTTCAGGATCGAACGAAGCAAGCACAATGAGCTGTGAAGATAACAAAAACAAAAGCTTAATAGTTGAGCAAACAAAGATGGTGGTTCCTGCTTTTCAGCTAGCGGCGAACGAAAATCCTGGAGCAGTGATCGCACAGGTGCAGTTCAACGGAGACAATTTTGATGAATGGACTCAAGCGATAAGAACGGCGCTGCGAGTAAAATTGACCTACCACAAATTCTTTTTGGTTCTCTAAACCATCTAGAAGAAAATGAGAAGGTATTTTAACCTCCAAGTACTCAGGATTGGTTACTCTATGAAGATTCCTCAGAGATTGGTTCATCCTTGCTGCCCAAGGATACTCTTTGGAGTGAGCTTTAAGTGAAGCAGCTTCAGCTTCAGAGCAGTGAGAGGTTGTTAACTTCTGAGCCAAAGCCATTGGGAATTTTCAGAGTTCAACAAAGGAGCAGAATAAATCGCAAGATGATGAAGAGGAGCAGAATAAATCGCAAGAGGCTTCTCCCATGCTCCAATGGAGATTGGCAGGAGTGAAGCTTTTCGATTAGAAGTGAGACGTTGTTAACTTCTTAGCCAAAGCGGAATCAGAGGATTCTTTCATGGAGAGTTTGCCGACCATCGATGCAGATGAGGCCAATGCGGATCTTGAGAAGATTCCGAAACTAAGGACTTGAGTGTCGATGGTACGAGGGTCTTTGTGGGGGTCGAATCCAATCTCCTCTCCGATGAAGGCATGAGAAAGTCGTAGTCATTTGCTGAGATTTCACCGGAAGACATGGGCCAAATGTATTTCAGAAAGAATAAGGGAGAACTAAGAGAGGAGAGGAGAGAATCCACCGGTAGAAGAAACCGGCGGTAGAAACCAGCTGCGGAGCCGCCAAGAGAGTCAAAGGAGAGAAGTTTTAAGGAGCCTGGGAGCGTTTTTCGTTTTACTCTTCTGTGTGTTATGGTTTGACAGGATTAATCATCCTATTATCTATTTTGGTTTAGTTTAAGTACCGGTTTAGTTCATGTCAAATAATTAAACCAATTTTTACGATAACAGTATTTGTACGCATCTCGACTATTTAGGGAAAATCAATCAGAATATTATTCATCATCTTCTTCGGTAATAATTATTACTGAATAAACTGATTCTCATTAATTCAATGTAAATGTACAAAACTTTTATTTACACTGTATATACCAATAAGCCCCGTCAAGATGGGACGAAAATATTTAGGAGATCCATCTTGCCAAACAGTTTTTGAAATGGTGCGGGGTAGAGAGGCTTTGTGAAATGATCAGCAAGCTGCAAATCAGTGCGCACATGTAAGAGTTTGAAGAAGCCTGCAATCGGATTCGATGTGTTTGGTGCACTCATGGAAGACAGGATTATGAGTGATATGAATCGCAGCAGTGTTACCGCAGAACAGAAGAGTAGGCTTGACCAGTTGACATTGCAGTTCACGAAGAAAGTTTGTAAGCCATACCATTTCATCCGAAACAAAGGAGAGACTGCGATATTCTGCTTCTGCAGAGTTTTTGGAGACGACTCGTTGCTTCTTGGATTTCCAGGATATCAGAGATGTACCCATGAAAATGCAGAAATCCAAAGTTGATCTTCTAGTGCCTTGACATGAAGCCCAGTCAGCATCTGCGAAAGCCTGTATTTGAAGTTCAGACTTAGCAGAGTAGAACAAGCCTTGACCAACAGTCCCTTCAAGGAGCAGCAGAAAACTGACTAAGCTTGTTGACGGCAAATGTGATGTCCGGTCTTGTGATTTGAAGATACATCAATCGGCCAATCAAACGACGATAAGCCTCTGCGTCAACTGAGTCACTGCCACTGTCTTTGGAGAATTTGACATGCAGATCCATGGGGATAGAAGAGGGCTTGCATCCAAGAAGGCCAGTTTCATCGAGCAAGTCAAGAGCATATTTGCGTTGACATATGTGGATACCTTCTGCAGAGCAAGCTATCTCCAGTCCATGGAAATACTTCCGTTCACCAAGATCACGGAGCTTGAAGTGAGATGTGAGTTGAGTTTTCAGAGTAGCAACGGCAGAGTCACTATTACTGGCGATGACAATATCGTCCATATACACCAACACACAGAGAAAAAGAGCATCCGTGATTTGACAAAGCAAGTGTGATCACCGTGAGTCTGAGTGAAGCCCAAGCCGAGGAGAGTAGTAGAGAATTTCAGGAACCACTGCCGTGATGTCTATTTCAAGCCATAGAGAGATTTTTGTAACTTGCAAACAGATTTTGGAGGGAGAGTGTTCCCTTTTTTATCAGCATATCCTGGCGGGAGCTTCATATAAATCTCTTCATCTAAATCGCCATTGAGAAAGGCATTAGAGATATCAAGTTGATGAAGAGAGAAACCGTAAATAGCTGAGAGAGCAAGGACCAATTTTATGGTTGTTAACTTGACCACTGGTGAAAAGTTGTCGTGATAATCAATCCTCTCTTTCTGAGTATACCCCTTTGCCACTAGCCGAGCCTTGTAACGTTCCACAATTCCATCAGCGTTAAATTTAACTTTGAAGACCCATTTGCAGCCTATAGGGGTTTATCAGAAGGAAGAGTACAGATTGTCTAAATCTCAGTATCCTCCAAAGCACCAATCTCAGCATCCATAGGATCATCCCAAATCAAAAGTCGCTTTGCCTCAGCATAGGGTTTGAGTTCTTTGGCTTTGTCTATGGAAACTAAGAAGGAAAGGTAAAGAGAAGAGATTTTACCGTAAGAAAGAAAATAGGAAATTTTGTGAATGGTTGAAGATCATCAACATCAACTGTAGAATCAGCAGAAGGCATGATATATACGGAAGGTCATGAGAAGAAGTCTCATTACCAGGAGCATAGTGTGACACAGGAGGATGTTGGATCAGATCAGGAAAGGAATTGATGAGTTCCTGAGAGAGATCTGAACCAAGAAAGGGAAAGAGCTCTTTGTGGAAAACCACATGTCTCGAGATATGAATAGAGTTTTTCTTGAGATCTAAGAGTTTATACCCTTTGAATCCAGAGGGATAACCCAGGAAGGCACAAGTACGAGCTCGGGGTTCGAATTTATGTCTGCTCTTAGGTAAGGTATAAGAATAACATAAGCAACCGAAGGTTTTTATTTGGGAGTAATCAGGAAGCTTGTTAGTTAAAACCTCATAGGGACATTTGTCTTTGAGAATGAGAGCGGGTAAGCGATTTATGAGGTGTACTACAGTGAGGATACAGTCACCCCAATAGGGAAGAGGGATGTGAGATTGGAAAAGTAGGGAACGAGAAACATTTAAAATGTGCTGATGTTTATGTTCCACTACAGAGTTTTGTTGTGGTTTTCCGGGACATGAATGAAATGGCAGGATGCCTTTTGATTGATAGAAAGTGGTGAAATGGAGTTCTGGAGCATTGTCAGATCTAACCCCTTTGATTTTCCTATCAAATTGAGTTTCAAACGTAGGAAACACATGTAGGACATCTGACTTAGCCTGAAGAAGATAAACCCATGTGATTCTAGAACAATCATCCACTATGGTTAAGAAATACCTAAAACCATCATAAGTGGGAACAGAAAAAGGATCCCAAACATCAATATGAACAAGATCAAAAGGATTCTCACAAAGACGATTATGAGAAATAAAAGGAATATGTTTTTGCTTTGAGAGATGACAAATTTTACAATGGGAATCGATATTGTTTTTATTTTTATGAAAGGACAAGACAAATTGCAAAGACTGAAGTTTTAAAAGAGAAGGGTGACCTAAACGTTTATGCCACAAGTCAATAGACACATGCGCAACAACAATGGAGGGCAAAGTACCTTGAAAAGAGAGAGACTCAATGTCCAAGAAGTAAAGATTAGCCCCTTGTCTACCCATCCCAATCGTTAATTCCCGTGTAGGATCCTGAATAGAACAAGAAAACTCATCAAACCAGACACCACAATGCAGGTTTTTAGTGATGGAGCTGACACTGAGGAGATTGAATTTGAACTGAGGAATATAGAGGACATCATAAAGAACTAAATGACTACCCAAATGTATAGTTCCTATTCCGACAATGCTCACAAGAATCCCATTAGGAAGAGTAACAGTAGTGTTAGGGAGAGTTTTATAGGATGTGAAGGAAGATTGTTGATGAGTTATGTGATTTGTTGCCCCTGTATCTATAACACAAGCGTTTAAAGCAGTGATATTGGTACTGGTACAGCAGACATAAGGCCTATCAATTCTGATAAATGAACAGAGAATAGAGGGGTAATGGTTACCGGATATTGGGCAGTGTTTGATGAAGAAGGAATGGAAGCTGAGACAGAGTGAACTTCTGGAGTAGGTAGAGCAGACGGAGGCTAAAGCTTGGTGCTTAGGAAGGATACGAGCTGTTGAATCTGAGTTGGGGAGAGATCATCAGTTGAGAGAATGTTTTCCTGTGGGGCATCACCAACTGTCATATTAGCCGACATCTGAGAAGATTTCTGTTTAGGCTTGGAGCTTATTGGATAACCATGCTTCTTATAGCAACGATCCTCAACGTGACCAACTCGATTACAGAACATGCAGTGAGGCCTATCCTTCTTATGAGAATTGCCTGATTGGCCCCCTGAGACTGGAACTGAGTTCGAAGTACCCTGACTCGGCAACTGAGAGACTTGAAAAGCAGCCGAAGATAGATCAGGATTAGTCGAGAGACGAGCATCTTTCTGACTATCTTCTTGATCGACAAGGTTGTAGACTTCTGACAGAGAAGGTAAAGTCTTCTTCATAAGAATACGACTTCGGATGTTCTCATAATTGTTGTTGAGTCCCATAAGAAAGTCAATGACGCGATTAGCTTCCTTCTCAGCTAAAAGGTCTTCAATGGTGCAAGCAGGAACTTGTATATTATCCAATTCTTCCCACAGAGCTAGAGTTTTGGTGTGGTAAGATGACAAATCAAGACTGCCTTGACAGAAAGAGTTGATTTGTTATCGAAGCTTGTACAGTCGAGGAATGTTGGACTTATGGAAACGAGTGTGCAGATTCTTTCAGATATTAGACGCATTCTCGATATAGAGAATGCTAGAGTAGATCTTCTTTAAAACACTGTTCATCAGCCACGATTTGACCATACTATTGCAGCGATTCCAAATCTTGTAGTAAGGATCACTCTCAGGTGGTTTGACAATCGATCCATCAAGAAAGCCTATCTTATTCTTAGCTTCTAAGCTCGTAGTAATAGCAATTATCCAAACAATGTAGTTATTTCCATCTAACAGTTCCGATGTTAAGACTAAGCCAGGATGATCTGAACTATGAAGATGATAAGGCGAGTGGATATTGTCAGGATTATTCAATACCTCAAAGTGATCGCGATGGTTGGAGGAAGCAGATCGACGATTGACAATGTGATCCGCAATTCCAGGGAGATTAATCAGAGCATCAGAAGCTGCACGTAATTGAGCTGAATGTGAAGCATCGCCGCGAGATTTCGGTGACTTCAGAGAGTGAGATTCCAGCGAGGTCAGAGTAGATCGACGATACTGCGACTTGCAATTCCTCTTTCCCATTGAAACCGAGATCAGCTGA